AACGCTCCCTCCTGTCTCATTCTCGGAACGGAAAATCAAGAGGCATACATTCTCGAGATAGATGCCTACACTATTCTCAGCACTGTACGGCCCACCACCACCACTCACCATCTCTTTATCTTTATTAATGAGAGCATTCTCTCTCTTTTTTTGGTTTTTTTGCAGGCCACCCTGCCCAGTGTGCCAGTGTTCATCGAGGCGAGTGGACTGTTCGACGTGGAGTACCGCATTCTGTTTGCCTGCCGCGACGCTCACATTTACCTGATCAAGCGCGGCTACAGCAGCGGCCGCCTGTGCATTCAACTGAACTCGCACCCGGTGGGCCTGGCGCGCATCGGCAGCAACATCTACGTCGCCTGCATGGACCACACGCTGAGCATCTTCACCACCAAGGGCAATCGAGTGTGGAACATGAAGCAGCCGGCGGCCATCACCACCATGGAGGCCATCTTCCTCGAGCGCCAGGGGCTGCACATCATTGCGGTGGCGCTCGCCAACAAGAAGGTCATGTTCTACAATGTACGGTGAAGGGCAACAATGAGGGAAAATTGTTTAAAGTTATGTAATTACCGATAGTTTGTTACCACTAGGATCGGAAGTGCGTCGACATTTTGCACATGCACGACATTGTAGTGGCGATGAAGTTTGGCCGTTTTGGTCGTGAGGACAATACTCTGGTGATGGTTTCAAAGAGGGGCGCTCTGACGGTGAAGATACTGAAACGAACGGCCAAGTTTATTGCGAGGGAGTACGAGGAGGAGGCGAGCAAGGCGGCCAGCGGAAGTGCTGCCGGCAAGTTGATTGTTCCCAAGAAGACTAAACTCTTTGTCGACCAGACGATGAGGGAGCGGGAGCAGTACCTGGGTAAGTGTGTGCTGCCAAATAAATGGCTCTTCAGTAATGGTAGCAATAAAATGCCTTTTTTCTCACCTTTATTCTATTGTGGCTGCTCACTGCTTTACACTTTTCAGCAATACATAAAAGCTTTGAACACGAACTGATGCGCCTCAAGGTAACACGGCAAATTATTTATTGGCTTTCTCAATCGTAACAATGTGCTATTCTCATTTTTCTTTTCACTGTACAGTTGAATGCCGCTAGAACGTACGTGAAGGCACTTCAGTCGAGTCTGAATCCTATTTCTCTAAATACCAGCGACTCAATTAAACTTTCTGCAAAGGTATTTGTTTTTTTATTTTTCAACTGCATCGTTAATTCTTTTCCGTTTCCGCCAGGTATTCGGTCTTGGTCCGATCTTTCAGCTAAACCTTGAACTACAGAACAGCAACGGCGACAACTTTCCCACCGATCTGATGATGGTTTTTGAGTACGATGCAAAGATCTACCGACTGGAGAGAAATGTCATTCAGATTGCCTGCCTCCTTGCCACGGCCACCTACCGGTACACCAATCGAGTGCACTGCATCAGCGAAATGAATCTCTCTGATGCGATTAAGGTACGCTCGTGACTGTTGCCAGCAGCAATACCCTTTAGTCAGAAGTAATTAGTCGTGTCGAGTTTTTTCTCCTTAACCAATTGGCATCAAAGTATCCTGTAATTAAATTACCACCACTCCTTTTATATTTTCTGCAGATTTACATATTATATGAAAACGAAGAGGTTCCACTGGTGACGGCGGTAATTAACATGCCTCGCAGTGAGCTGGAGACTTTGCCGGAAAGTGATGCCACCAATCAGCGACCACCGTTGGGTGAGACGAATCAGTTCTAAACGGAAGTCGGCCTAAGGAAAATGAGACCCCACACACACACTAAATTGGTGAAAAATATAACCGTTTGCACCCGTTTTCAATTAATTTTTTTTGTCATTGCTTTGAAGCCATTTCATTTACATAGAGAAAGGCTGTTTAATCTGAACGCAAACAAATGAGTGGATGAAAAAAAATAAAATGAACAAAACCTCATTTTAGGCGGTTTAGAGGAGGCAAACGGAATGAGTGTTCTTTATTGCAAGAGAAAAATTAGGTTCTTGGAGGCATCAAAAACGAGCTTATTGCGTGAATGGATGATTACATGGAATGGAGTGACGATAAATAATTTAATAAAGAAAAGCTGGAGAACACCACTGATTTGAGTAAAATGCTTGGAGGTTTATGTGGAAAAACAGAACCGATTTTTTTTCTTTATTCTGCTAATAATTCACCATCTTATCTTCTACCAAAACCGCCAAGTCCCATGCCTAAATTAAAAACGGTAAACAATGGTGAAAATCGAGGAGTTTTCGAGAAGAATCTTACCATAAGGATAGCTGTAATAGGGATACATGTACCCGTAACCGTAGTACGGCCAACCTAGATTTTAAAAAATTAGGTATACATCCAAAAAAATCATTTTTACGGGCTACTTACCCATCCCTGGATACCAGCCTGATCGATTTTTTATCAATAATTATTGATTTGAAGTAATTAGTAATGATAAATTAATTAATTAAACATTTTTTTAATTTTTAAAAAAAATTTTTGTTGATAAACCGAATTGACTTACCGAACCTGCGATAACCCATCCCACCACCTAACCAGAACGCCTCAGACTGAGGAGTGATCAGGTAGATGAGGAGTGCAAGGGCGATCAGAAGGCGAGTGCTGGTGCTGGTGAACATGGTGTGGTCAGCAGTTGTTGTGGTGCTAAGTTCATTCAATTGATAGTGGTCGAGTTTTTCTTTTACTTTTTTGTCAATTGAAGTGCAATCACTTGCTTGCCAGAAGCTTTTATACCTTTCTCACCAACCAGCTGACCTGCAGCGGTTGCACCTTCTCGTCGAACCTGTACTTGACATTTCGATGGTCACTCTCACTCACTCACTCATTCTCAGTCTCTGTCTGACCACTGGTCAGCTTAACTGGTTTGCACTGCTCATTGCCACCGCAACAGCAACAGCAGAACCGTTGCACCGTTTTACATAAGTGGCAACTTGGTCCACCACCACTGGTCAAACGGATATAGTAACGCAACGGCAGTCATATCGCAGTGGTATCTCAGTCGCTGGCCTTCACTACACCTGCTGACCACACACTGCAGTTGTCGTGGTCACAGGTCCTTGATCTACAGGTGAGCTGTCTGAGAGTTCACGGCACATAATAAGAACTGTAACGGATTAACTGCCGGTGACATAATTTACACGGGTTAGTGCGTCCGCACAAGCGCGCGCTCACACACACACGTGCTCTGGCGCCGTCAGCTGTTGGTCACAGTCACAGTGACACGCACACTTAATTGTTGCTTGCTAAACACTGTGCCGTTGCCTAAATCTGCACTCGGAAATTCTGCCTCGATTGCTTCAACTGCCTGAGCAGGAAACTCAGGAACTGACCATGAAAGGTGAACAAGGGGCTGCTGCTGCTGAAGAGCAGACAAACAGTAGCAACAGTAGCTTTCAAGCTGAGTCGCCCGAACCGAGTACGCGCCAGCCTCAAAGGAAGCGCCGCATCATCACGCCCAACATCAGCGTTCCAGTGGACTGCCCGGCAAAGGCTCATCCCAATAGGGCCTACAAGAAGAACCGAATTTGCACGACCAAGTACAACTGCCTCTTTTTTATTCCTCAAAACATCTCCGAGCAGTTCTTCGGCCGCTTTGCAAACATGTACTTTCTTTCCATTCAAATCATCAACTTTCTTCCAGGTTTGTTTACCTTTCTTTTGCTTTTTCCTCTTCTTCTTTTTCATTTGTTCAGTGCACTACAACTACTTTTCTTGTTCTTCTTTCAGGCATGCAAGTTTTCAGCAGAGAAGTTCAGTTGCTGCCGTTTTTGTTTGTTTTAGGCGTGACGATGATTAAGGACTTTTGCGAAGACTGGCAGCGACGGAAGGCTGACAAGGCTGTCAACGACAACAAATGCCGTTTGTACGATAAGTAAGCGCCTCTCATTTTATTCCGCTCCACTATTCATGACGGCGCATCTCATGACTTCTCAAATGCTCTAAATTAGACACTTGGGTCGATTCGTGCAGGCGCCATGGAGCCGCATTTGCGTGGGCGACATCGTTCATCTGTCCTGCAACGAGACGGTGCCTGCCGATATGATTGTGCTCAAAACTAAATCGGCGGAGGATGAGGATGAACTGGGTACGTGCTATGTAGACACTTCAAATCTCGATGGCGAAAGCAATCTAAAACAGCGCTATGTGGCCAATGAATTCGGCAAGCTGAACGAACAAGGAGTGGAGGATATTGATTTCCGCTTTGTCGTCGAGTGCGATCTGCCCAGCATGAATTTGAACAAGTTTCACGGCAGCATCGTCTTCAGCGATGGCAACAAAATCGTCGTCGACCAGGAGAACCTGCTGCTACGTGACTACGTGCTCAAGAACACCGCCTATATAGATGGGCTGGTTGTGTATGCGGGTCATGACACGAAGGCGATGTTGAACAACAAGGGACCACGGTACAAGCGAAGTCGCCTCGAGATCATGATGAACCTCGATCTAGTCTGGTGCATCCTGCTCCTCATCATCATGTGCGCCTTCTGTGCGCTCTCGCGGGCCTTTTGGAAGGAGAGCTACGCGAAGGAGCAGGTTGACCAGGTGCCCTTCATCCTGCCCGGCAGTGGCTACTGGGCACAAACGTTGGACATTTTCTGGGACTTTTTCGTCTTTTACATCCTCTTTCAAACCATCATTCCCATTTCNAGGAGAGCTACGAGAAGGAACAGGTTGACCGGGTGCCCTTTATCCTGCCCGGCAGTGGCTACTGGGCTCAAACGTTGGATATTTTTTGGGACTTTTTCGTCTTTTACATCCTCTTTCAAACCATCATTCCCATTTCGCTCTACGTGACAATTGAGTTCATCAAACTGGGCCAGATTTATCTGACCATCTACAAGGACACGCACTTTGTTGACTCGTGCACGGGAAAGAAGCTTGAGTGCCGAGCGCTGAACATTACCGAAGATCTCGGCCAGGTGGAGTACATTTTTTGCGACAAGACGGGCACACTGACAGAGAACACCATGGAGTTTCGGCGGTGCACTATCAGCGGAATTGACTACAACCACGAACCGGAACTGAATCGCTCCAAGATGACATATGAACAGAGTAAGAATTAGGCAAACAATCAGCGATGGATTTGTTTAATTGAATTATTTTTAGCTCAAAAATCTCTGCGCAAGAAAAGTCTTCGCTTGAATCAAATTTTGAAGGACAAGCTGGACCGCATAACACAGGAGTACACCTTGAAGATCAAGGATGACATTGAACGAAGTGACCAAGTGCCTGCTTCTGCCACGTTGAACCTCACCCAGGAAGAGGAAAAGATCAGAGACTTCTTCGTCCTGCTGGCCATCTGCAACACAGCCATGGCCGCCGACAAGAACGGACACAAGGACATTCTCAACATGAGGGGAGATACGCGGGATGAGAACGCCAGCACCACCAGTATTAGTCAGACGTCCACCACATCTACCTGCTCCAGTGAGAGCTCTGAAAGCTTGAAGAGCTTCAAAACGCGACGCCTCAAACTGTTTGACGAGTTTGCCGAGCAGACGGAGAACAGCGGCGGCAAGAAGGCCAAGCCAATCTACGAGTCGGAGAGTCCTGATGAAGTTTCGCTGGTGACCACTGCTTTTAAGTACCACGTGGCACTGCTGAAGCGGGCTCGAAACTACGTCAAAGTGATGATGCCCAATGGAACGGTGATCACCTACGAGGTGCTCAGCCTGCTTCCCTTTGACTCGAATCGCAAGCGAATGTCCATCATTATCCGCTGTCCACTGACCAAGCGTGTCATCGTCTTCTGCAAAGGCGCCGATCAGACGATCCTCTCTCAGCTGTCAATCGCCAGCACTGCTGATCCGGCTGAACTGGCCGAGACGAGGAGAAGTGTACTGCGATACAGCGAACAGGGCTACCGTGTGCTCTGCATGGCCAGGCGTTATCTGACCGAAGAGCAGTTTAGCGACTGGCATGAGCAGTTTCAACGGTTGCAGCAGCAGTCGGCCACTGAACAGCAGCTAGCGGAGTGTGTGGACAAGATTGAAAATGGTTTGGAGCTGTTGGGTGCCACGGCGATTGAGGACCGCCTGCAGTATCGCGTTCCCGAGGTGATCACCTCCTTGCGGGCGGCTGGAATCGTCATCTGGGTGCTCACGGGCGACAAGATGGAGACAGCGGTCAATATTGCCAATTCCTGTTCNAGGAGCAGTTTAGCGACTGGCATGAGCAGTTTCAACGGCTGCAGCAGCAGTCGGCCACTGAACAGCAGCTAGCGGAGTGCGTGGACAAGATTGAAAATGGTTTGGAGCTGTTGGGTGCCACGGCGATTGAGGACCGCCTGCAGTATCGCGTTCCCGAGGTGATCACCTCCTTGCGGGCGGCTGGAATCGTCATCTGGGTGCTCACGGGCGACAAGATGGAGACAGCGGTCAATATTGCCAATTCCTGTTCGCTCTTTGACGGCAAAATGAGGCTGATTACCATCTCTCTGGAGACGGTCAAATCAAAGGTCAGTTCCTAAACACTCATCAGTTCAAGTGAGCTATTTTGTCATTTTTTCAGTTGTCAGCTCGTAAAGCGCTCGTCGACAATATCATCTTTGTGCGCTCGGAGATCAAGAAGAGAGCTTCAGCAGGCAGCAGGTGCATTCAGCAAGTGGACGAAAAGTGCAACAAAAGCAAGAGCAAATCAATCTGTGCTCAATTTTTCCGCATGCTGTACCAGGTGTTGCACTTTGAGCATAATATCAAATTTGCCACTGCCAGTGAACGGGCCGCTTGGGGCCTGGTCATCGATGGACCCTCGCTCAACTACATGCTTCAACCGGGAAATGTCAGTCTGTTCATTGAGTTGACGCAGTACTGCAACTCGGTCCTCGTCTGCCGGGCGACGCCGGCGCAAAAGTCTGCAGTGGTCATGTGTGTGAAGATCAAACTGAACCGACTGACTTTGGCCATTGGTAGGTGATTATGAGGAGTTTTGTTATTCTCTAATCTGCCTTTTATTGAAACAGGCGACGGTGCCAACGACGTCGCCATGCTGCAGACTGCCCACGTCGGCGTGGGAGTGTCGGGCAAGGAGGGCACCCAGGCGGTGATGGCATCTGACTTTGCCATTTCCAAGTTTCACCACCTGGAGAAGCTGCTGCTGGTGCACGGCAACCTGTGCTACTACCGCCTGGCACAGACCATTCAATACTACTTCTACAAGAACTCACTCATCATCTTCATCATCTTCTTCTTTCAATTCTCCTGCGGCTTCAGCGGCCAGTCGCCAGTGGACGACATGCACCTGATGCTAGTGAACCTCGTCTACAACACCTTTCCAGCCGTTCTTCGAGGCATCTACGAGAAGGACTACGAAGAGGCGGTTTTGCTGGCAAATCCGAAGCTCTATGAGAGAGGCCGCCTCTCGCGTGTCTACACGAAGTACTCATTCTGGGTAGACACTACTGATTCAATCTACCAAAGTCTAGTCATCTACTACTTCTGCTACTTCACCTACCTCGACGCTGATATAGACTTTTATGCCTTTGGTAGGTATTCAATAGTGAATAATGTTAATCTGTTGTGTTGTCGTTTGTAATGTTTGCCCACGAGCTCAGTGTTGTAACACTCTTCTTTTTCTCTGTCCAGGCATCATCTTATTTACCATTGTCATACTGACAAATCTGTTGCAGGCAAGTTTTTGTGAAAAATGTTTAATGTTTGCTTTTTTACTCAGTTTATTGTGCAGATTGCAATAGAATCTCAGTACTGGTATCGCACTTACGTTGGCTCTTTCATTTTGTCATTTGCTTTTTTCTACCTCATTGTTGGCATCTATGACATTGCTTCATGGGAATGGTTTTTCAACTATCTCGGTGGGCAGAACTATCTTTTGTTTACTGTAAGTCAATTTTTATATTTTTTATCATGTTTTATAAAATTATTATAAAATTATTTCCAACAGAACGTTATTCAAGATTCTAATTTCTGGTTTTTGTTGGTCATTTGCCCAGTGACTTGCTTGATGCCAAGGTGAAGTTTTCAACACTTTTATAACGCTTTTACTTATTCTTTTTCATGCAGGACTACACTACGAGTTATTCAAGAGATAGTTAAGCCTAAGTTCCAAGTTTAACCACTTTAAACATTGATTAAAACTTTTTCTATTTTGTTTTGACAGCAACAATGGTTTTGCCGACAGTTAACGTTTGAGTATACAAAAGATCAACACGCAAACATTTTTTATTTTACTTTAACCACAAGTTACTCTCACATTGTCTTTTTTAAAACTTCACGACATCATGGTCTGCTTTAATTGTCTTCAGATTGCTTTCCTGATTAGCGCAATGATGTTGCAAGAAGCTGCTGTTTTTGGTGCTTCAAGAAAAAAATTTCACCTGCGCAGTAATTCAAGAAAAGCTATTGTTCCATTTCCAAATCAAAGTAAATACGATGCACTGGTGAAAGCTTCTCTTATTGCTTGGAAAAACCACAAAGTTAAGACCCTTGCCGCTTCGACCTCTCTTCTCGTTGCTGCGGGCTACTTTGGCTCTAAAACAATCTACAACTATTTTCAAAATCGTGGCAAAAACAAGAGCAGAGGTTCGAATGAACTTCCACCTAACGGAAGCGCTTTTTGGGCCACCACTGTCAGTGACAGAGAATGGATCATCAACTGGGCGATGTACCTGGTGGTGGGCGTGCTGGCCATCAGTGCTCTCGCCATCGTCTACTTCTACTACTGCCATCCAATGGACGAGGAAGAGGAGGGTACGTTGCCCAGTGCTACTGCTACCGCCACAGCTCCTGCATCACCAGCATCAATTGCATCTTTTGCATCTCCTCCAGGAGGTGGTAAGGTGGTCGTGGTGGTGGGAAGTGCTGAGGGGAAATCAGTGAGAGTTGCTGGTGCTGGTGGGCAGACTGCTGAAATTAAGGCAAAGAGCAAGAGCCCTGGTCGACCTGTGGGAGCACCAGCACAGCAACCTGCACCACCACCACCTACGCCTTCGTCTTATCAAGGTAGTGCCATTCCCAAGGTCAAAATATGATTTGAGCACATCTTTTGGTCGTTCTATTGACTGACCCGACTCTTTACGCATTCGTTCTTGAGTAAAGCAATAGAGACCAGTCATTTTAATCAGAGTGTAATATAGTGTAATTAGAATTTACAAAGACTGGACAAAGATGGCATTACTCGCTCACTGCTCTCTAACGGCGCTGATCATCAGGCGAAACTCACTTTTGACCAGGTGACAGGAGCACTTGTCAGCCAGCGCATCACAGCTGTCACTGCTGCAGGCACAGTCAATTTGGTACTTGTCCTTGATTCGCTCCACCAGACGCACCCAGAGACGACTCTCTGTCAGCAGAGTGGTCCTGCTCACTGCCCCTCGCTCCACCAGTTGACGGCAAATGGCCATGGCGGCCTTCAGCAGCAGCGGGTAGTTGATGTAGTTGTGCATCAGCTGGAGGAGGGTCTCGCCTAGCAGCTGCCAGGTGCCAGAGGGGACAGAAGAGGCTATGCAGCTACTTGCAATGCTTTTCATTCGAATGGGCGTCACGAGGAGGTGGATGAAGGCGAGGGAGGTCAGTGCTAGTGACTTGTGCTCTTCACTGCGATTGACGTGCTGCAGAAGGGTGGCGAGGAAGGTCAGCAGTGACCAACAGTTACTATGTTGCTGCTGCTCCTTCTTGAGAATGCTGGCTCGAACTTCCAGTGAGCTCTCAGCACACTGCACCAAAGTGTAGAGATCGCTGGATAGCTTCTCCAGGACGACGCTGTTCTTTAGCACTGCACCAAAGTGCTCCTTCTCACTGTTGACCTTGCCGGCGACCGTTTTCAGTCGGCCGAAAGCAATCTCTGCCTTGTCGGCAAGTGTCGGCCCCGAGGGAATGGCGGCATGCAGCTCAATGGAGGCGATGAGGCCCATCAGCTCAGAGTGGCCCAGAATAGTGGAAGAGCTGCCCTCGAGGAGCTGCTTTTCAATGCGCCATCGAGTGCTCGCTCCACGCCAGTGTCGCTGAATGGTGATGGCCGCCTGGCGGAAGCGGTCCACAAAACGCTCGACGTGTGCCTTCAGTACAGCCATGTGGCGCTTCAGTCGAAAGCGCTTCTGCACCAGCTGGACGGCCGCCTTCAGCTGGAGGTAGGACGAGCGAGCCTTTCGAGCGGCAAGCTGAGCTCGAAACTGCTGTTGCACTACTACGGTGGCCTTTCGCAGACGTAGGAACTCCTTTCGACGGCGAGCAGTCTCGAGTTTCTCCCTGAAACGACGCTGAACGGCGACAATGGCTGGCAGATGAGGCTGGAAGTACTGCTCCAGCTTGAGCTGCTGCTCAACCTGACGAAGGCTGCTCAGCAGTCGAAGGGTGGCACCTCGACTGTAGCCCTTGGCCACTTCAGCAGCCTCCTGCTGCATGTCCAGACGCTGCCAGACTTTAGCAGTGTCGTACTTCAGCAGACGTGCCCAGAGAAAGGAGGAAAAGAGGCGGACCATGTTGGCTGTACGGTCGGCTGTGTATTTGGCTGGGTACTTGAGCGACTTCACCAGATCACTGGAGATGGTGCCTTCACCGGCGAAGAACACCTCTGCCAGTTTGGCGAAGCGGATACCGTCGGAGAGGTGCACTGGAGAGAGTGCTGCAGTGGCCTTGATGGAGAACTCAAAGGCGATCTCAGCGTGACATTCGCCGTAGTGCACACTGTAGGCGATTGAGTGCAGCTGGGCGCGAAACTGTGCTCCTAAACCGGCGGACAGATTGGTGAGCACAAACTGGGAGAGCACCTGCTCGGAGCTGGTCAGCGCCTTGAATGCCATCTTGTTCGCCTCCGTTTCCTCATTCACCACAAACAGACTGGGCTGGTGGGGCAGGAGTGACTTGAGTTGGCTTTTAGCTCGGTCCAGAAAGAAGAGGGCAGTTAGAAAGCGGACTGATGATGCGTGGGCCCATTTTTGTTGGTTGTTGGGTGGCGGCGACACGAGAAACTGAAGCAAGTCAGTTTGTGAACTGTAACTGCTCTGCTTAGGCGTAGCATTAGGCTTTGCAGACTCCTCTTCGAGCAGTTTCAGCACTTGCAGGGCAACTTTTAGCCAGCACTTTCGGTAGCTGATAAGCAGGCGTTTGACACAAAGCTTCCACTCGAGTTGTTTGGGGGAGGCGGCCACGAAGCGATCCCAGCTGATGTTGCACTCCAGTTTACGTTTCATGGCACGACAGTCTTCCAGTAAGGGCTGACCTAGCTCGATCAGCTTGCTCGCTAGCATTGCCTCATTACTGAGAAGCTGAACAGTGGCCGGTGAAGGTTCGAGGACAGAGTTGAGCCATGAGATTAGCTGTTGTTCCTCTTCTTCAGCGGCACTCGGAACCATAGGCTTGATGTTTTCCATTTGAGATTTATTGTGGAAAATAAAAACTACGTTAAGATTGCGTCATTTTATGCTTTACATAAAATACTTTTGATTTATTCGAATTTGATTGTCAAAAAATAATAATTGATTGTAGTTGAATAGCACTTCGAAAACTCTTTTTTACATGATTCTAATGATTTTAATTGATTGTTTTGACCGACCAGTGAAAGAGTACCGATTCGAGGACAAACAGTACGGCACATGTGGCACCGCTGGTAATGTAGCCGATAGTGACCATGAAGGAGGTCTGCATTGACCAACCACGCAGCATGATACACCGCAAACTACGAATGGGCAACATGATCGGATTGATGAGAAAGATCTTCTGAATAGTGCTCGGCATGCCTTCCACGGGCCACAAAATTCCGCCAGAAAAGAAGATTACCACCATTAGAGTGAAACTGAAAATCTGTAACCATTGAAACCTTGAGTTTATATTCTCTTTTCTAAACACAGAAAGAAGAGCACCTACCAGAGCCGATAGTTGAGTTCGACAGAAGATGCCGATGAATGCACCGAAGAAGATTCCCTGATAGGTAGTGAGGAAGACGATCAAGTACGCCTCCCAGAAGCTGCCATCCAGCTTGATGCCGATAACGTAGAAGGAGAAGAGGAGGACGACGAGAATCTGAATCAACACCGGTATCAGCGGCGCCATCTGGAAGGTGAGCAGCAGCTCAATTGGCTTTACGCCCTGGTTGAGGTCTCGCTCGAGGCAGCCATCAGCGTGCCAGCTGACGATGCGCAGGGCAGTCATGAGGACGGTGATGGCCACCAGAATGATGATGATGATGCCCGCCTGGAAGAGGTCCTGCAGGTGGGGCTCCAGCGAGCCGTACACCAGCCGCTCCACCTGAATGGGCGTCGAGAAGATGTACGGGTTGAGGCCATTTTGAGCGCCGAACTGCTGCACCATCCGGTGGAAGGCCTGCAACACTGACCGGTTGAGGTAGCGAGCATTGAGCGTGTCACTCAGGTCAATGTACTGGTGGATGTTGCTGTCGTGAATCAGCTGTTGAACGTTCCGCTCATCGTAGAGCGACTCAAAGCTCAGCATGCCGTCGATGGAGTAGCGATTGACAAAGGCGCGCGAAAAGTTGGGACGAAAGGCGAGGGCGATTACGTTTTTGCCCTCTTTCAGCGATTTGAAAGCGGCACTTTCAGTGGGGAAAAAGTTCAACTTTACCATGCTGGTGTTGAATTCTTGCAGGTAGATCTCCGAGATTCGTCCAATGCCAGTCTGGTTGATGCCCTCGTCTCGATTGACAATGGCCACTGGCACATTGCGCGGCGTCCGGCCGTAGCTCGACTGGAAGAGGGTGATGGTGAACAGAGGAATGAGAATCATCAGTGCAAAGATTTGCAGGTTGGACTTGAATATGGTCCACTCGCGACACGCCAGCGCCTGCAGGTGCTCCACATTGAAGAGGCCTTTAGAGCAGTAGTGTTGTTTGTTGTAGGCAATTTGAGGTGCATTGTGCTTGTAGCCGTTTTGATGATTGTGGTGATCGTCGGTCATTTTGTCCGGATCCACTTTGCTATACCGAAACTGCTCACCACTAGCACTACTGCTTTTGATTAGCTTTTTATTTGCATTATCTTTTAGGCAGAGTTTGTAGAAAACCTCCTCCAGTGTGTTGCACTCCAGTTGGTGCATCAGACTGTTCGGCGACTGTTCAGCGAGTATTCCGCCATCTTTGATGAAACCCACCATGTTAGACTG